GTTCGCTTCATGGGCCTTCACCGTGCTCAAAACACAATAGTTGGTTACTCCGTACCAAGCAACTAACCAATAGAAACGTGTTGGTTGCGTAATTCATGCATTGTAAATGAGCGCAAAACAAAAGTTTGCAATTGTGCACAATCGTGGACCTTCCAGCATAAATTTTGGCATCTTTGTTTGCTGCTCTGATGTTTGCGGGGCTTCATAACCAGTGCCCTCTATTAACTATACTCTTATTTATGAAATCGGAAAGAAAAACTGTGTGAGAAATAACTTGACAGGTGTTACCGAAAGAAAACGGCAGAGATGGGCGTTTACTCTCTTACCGCTTCGTTCTCCTTTGATGGCATATAATGAAAAAGGGGGAAAAAAGTATTTCATGTTTTTCTAGATATCTGCGATCCGGGGTGGAGCTATTTCAATGGTTACTGTTACTTTACGAGTCAAAAATGCACAAACTGGACTACAGCATTGTCAAAATGCCGACAAGAAAATTCAGTCCTGGTTGATGTTAACAACAATGAAGAAAACGTATTTATACAGAATCGACACAATGGGGAAAAATCATGGCTTGGCTTTAATGACAGATCAACAGAGGGTGACTTCATTTGGGCAGATCGCGGACCTGGAAACTTTACAGCTTGGGCCAAGAATCAACCAAACAACTTCAGAGAAGAAGATTGTGTGCACGCACTTGGTGTGGAATATAGCTATGAATGGAATGACGTGAAGTGTAGCGATTGTCACCAATATACTTGTAAGAAAGGTAGGTACTAATTGGTTTAGTGGATTTCAAACTAAATTTTCATCAAATAACGTTTTCCGTTATTTCTTTACATACCGAAGTTAGCATAATCGCGCTCGGGTTATTTTATGAGCAAGAAAAGCTTATAAGCTTATTGCATTTTTCGACCAATTTTTGCCTTATGCTCTTGTAATGGGGAATGGGAACATTAGGGTAGACTCACATTTTTTTTTAATGAGCAGCTATCACCATGCATGCGGCGGCAGCACCCGCTTTACGAGCGGCCATCAAAACTGAGCTGTCCTGCTGAAACGACATGATAATAGCCTTTTTCTTCGCAGCTAACAAACCTTAAGACAATGCTTAAGTTGCTTTGGCCTCTTGCAATAGTTAACTTGAGAATTCCGGGTTTAATTTGACGAAGAATAGCATATTTTGTTCAAAACTAGACGCTTTGCTGCGTGTACCCAGGCAGTCGTTATACTGAGAAGCATTAGCTATATTGCAATTGAGCTAAATGATCTACATTTGAAGTCGTACGAAATTCAATCGGATCGATGTGGTCAAGCTATTCTCCCGTTGATTGTATTTCTTGGAACGATTAATATAGCTTATTACTCGTTTGCAGGCCTTTAGGGCGTGAAATAAGTCAAGGTCTTTATATCAGGCTATAAACTTTTCAGTCTATTTTCCTTAGCATTTCTCGTTGTTGTTGTTGTTGTTTGTTTGTTTGTTTTTTTGCGTTTTTTAGGCAAGCAAGACATTTTGAATTTCAGAGTTATGGCGGTGCCTGAAATAGAGCTACGAACGTGTTTGTCGAAAAACGTATACTTATCTCGTGATTTTTAGCCCATTCAGAAGTTAAAGTATTGGGAAAAGTGCTTATGTAAATGCTTTTTTGTTCAGTACAGATAATCAGTCGCCTAGATAGCCAAAGTAAGTTCCAGATGTTTACACTATTTTCCGGCCGCAATGTTGGTGTACCGCTGAGGTACACCAACATGGCGGCTCCATACTGGGGTCTGTAAATTTGTGCAAAATATTTCGATGAATACCTGAGGTTTGGAAAAACGCACACACTTAAAAATTAGATAAATGCCATATTCATTAATCTCCTATAACATGACAATTTCTTGACTTTATCCACTAAATGGTTTTCAAATAATTTTTTTTATTGCGCCAGGATTGCGTGACAGTGCGAGCCAAGAACTGTTTTGCTGGGGTCAACATACATTAGTTTCTTTCAGCTTAAATGTACAATAATTCGCTACATGGGTCAGTTTCATTCTTGTAAAGGCACATAACTCTGTTATAAGAAAATAACGAGAGAATATCGTTTAGTTCGAGATTTTAACTTTATTATGCTTTGCGAAGTTTCTCAGAGCGTTTTACTTTAGACTTTATAGGTATACTCGAACAGATACATGCAACAAATTCTCTAACCTTTTTGCTCTTGTTGCTCAGACGTTCTCGAGCTCGTGCTGGGATTCTACTTCTTTTACGATCACGTCTAAAAATACGATGACGCTTCTTAAGATGCTTCTTATCAAATTGAAGAGTTGATAGCGCCGGTCGATAGCTCCTTTGGTATAACATGGTTCTTGATAAATTCACTCAAAACGTTCGCTCGTAAATTGATGTCTCGTAAGGCTTGCAGACCGACCCGTTCCGAAAACGTTTAACGTCCTTTAGTGTTGGTCTACCGCGAACGGTGTGTTCGTTTGTATGTGATTTCATCGCCCTAGAAATCATGGAATCCGAGACAACTTTTCACGACGTCAACTTCTGTAAATTCCGTGTGCTGTACGCATGCACAGGTGGCGCATGCGCTTTAGGGACCAGATGACGATTTGTGACTGAACGAGGAGAAAAAAAAGAGAGAGCCGAATTTTAAAGCCAGGCCTCACTGCCTGGGTAATAACACAGCTATTCTTCTATTTGGCGACACTCGACGAGCTATGAGCGGGTTGCCTTGCCGGACGCCGCCGCCCATTTTTGAGGGCAAATTAGAAGCTTAGAGACACAAAAAGTTATCATATGTTTCACTTTTTACAATCTGATATAGTTTTTGGAATGGTAAATCCGTTTTCGTGAAAAGCTAATGCAATCTCCAACGAGAAACGTTGCCTGATTTCAATGCCTTTCCTGTTGAGTTGCATTGACGTCAGGACAGTAAAGCTTTTCCCGCCTGCCGAATCCTCATTGGTCAATAGGTAGTTTATTACATTTATGGTTAGGCCATATTACATTTATGGTTGTCCAGTTTATTACATTTATGGTCAAATTTTATTACATTTATGGTAGGTGCATTTATTACATTTGTGGTCAAAAATTATTACATTTATGGTCAGTATTTCTTTTGTGGTCAATTTTTATTGCATTTATGGTTTTTATTACATTTATGGGTGATACAGCAGTAAACCAGGGCTAATTGTCTCTCATGTTCTCATCAGATTTGAATGAATGCGAGGAGAACACAAATCACTGCCACCGGCTTGCCACTTGCACCAATAAACGCGGATCGTACACGTGCACTTGTACCTATGGAAGCTCAGGGGACGGCTTTGACTGCTCTACTTACGCAGGTATCATTTTTAGGTGCTTTTGTAGCATTTTATATTCTTGATTATAAAACATACTTAATGGAGCTAGGGTTGAAGAAAGTTAGCTCGCAATGGAAAATAGTGCTGGGGGGGGGGGGGGGG